CGACCCCCCGACGCCCCAGCGCTGCGAAAAGAGCACCACGGAGGGTTGGGGGCAGTCTTCGGTTCTTGGGGGCCCTGACTGGGCCCGGGGGGCCGTCAAAACGCAACCCGCGATGGAAGACCAGCCTCGGGGAATCGACGGGGTCGAGACCTCCAGAGGTCCACGTTGTGAAAAAAGCCACGACGTCAGGAGTCTGGGACCGTGGCTGCGAAGGCGGCGGTGGCTGCGGCGGTAGCTGCGGCGGCGTTGGCTGCGAAGTCGGCGGCAACGGCGACGGCGACGATGCTGGTGGCGGTAGCGGCGACGGCGGCCCGGGAAGGGTCGTCATTAAGGAAACGGGTCCTGAGGGAAATGGGTCCTGAGGTTTTTCACCATCTTCGAGCTCCTGGGGCCCTCCACGGGCCCTGGGATCGTCAGAAAGCGAATCAGGATGAAGAAGTGGTCTTGGGGAAATGCTCTGGGGTCCAGGACCCATTCCCCTCAGGACCTGTTTCTTTCATGCCAACGATCACTTCAGGGGCAACGACGTTGATAAAGGCGGGGGCGACGGCGACAGAAGAGGGAGGGGGGAGACCAGGAGCTGGAAAGCGAACAGGAAGGACGAACGAGGGGAGAAAGGGCGACCGACCGACCGACGAGCTCCTCCTCGCTCATCCTCACGTTTCCTCCTCCTCGTCATCCCTCTCATCCTTCTCCATGCTCCTGCTCACTTCTCCTCCGCCTCATCCTCTTCCCCTTACTCCTCCGCCCTCCTCTCCGTCATCGCTCCTCCTCGTCGGCGCCAGGTCAAAGTGGATATGTCTTTTCCTGTTGGTGATCCCCCAGATATGGCTCTCCTGGGCCACGCAGGCGCCGCCGCGGCTGCGCGCAGGGCATGCGGCGGCGCAGCCTTCCCACATTTCTGGCGGCGGAGGGGGGAGGAAGCAGAACGTCAAGGTGTCGTTGCGTATTTGAGCGCGTTTCTTGATCTCCCCTGGGGGCGCGAAGATGTTTGCGCGTCGCGGTCTGAGCCAGAGCTGTGCCCTTCGCCAGGGGGCGGCGCGAGGCAGTCGCGCATTGCGCTCTGCGGTGCGCGGTGCGCGCAGGTAGGTGGCCCAGTCTGACGTGCCTGGCCCTCGTGGAGCCTCTGGCGGCCTGCGGAGGCCCGTGGGGACCCCCGTCGGCGACCTCCGCCTGGCCCTCTCCGAGCCTCCTGCCTCTGAGGAGCTCCGCGGGGGTCGCGCGGCTCTCCAGCCTCTGCGTGGCGAGGCCGCTGCCGGTGCGCCTTGGGGCCCGCAGAGAGCACCCAGAGTTGTTCCTCCTCCTCCTCCTCCTCCTCCTCCTCCTCCTCCTCCTCCTGCTCCTCCTCCTCGTCTCTGCCCCGTTCGTCCCTCGCCGTCCGCCCAGAGAGCCCCGCGCGGAGATCCGAGAAATCATGATTATGCAGCTCCTCTGAACCTGCTTGAGGCGCCTTCCTATTCCAGGAATCGAAAAGGTTGCCGTCTTCCTCTCCAGGGGGCGGGCCGGAAACCCAATGTACGTTCGACGCCTTTCCTGCTTCATGGTTCTGCATATTTCTTCCGGACGATGTGTGGCCATGGTGAAAGATCGGCCCAGGGCCGGTCGTCGGAGGTCTGGGTTATGGGCGGAGACGGCTGGGGCTCGTTCCGTGCGAGACAGGGTCGGAGCCAGAAGAACCGCGCACCCAGCACCCCTCACCCCATGCCGTTTTCACTCCTCCTCGTCTCCCTCCTCCTTATCTTCTTCGTCCTCATTCTTCTCCATCTTTTCCTCCTCTTCCTCCTCGGTCTCGGTCTCGGTCTCGGCGAGCCCAAGTAGGGCGCGCTGTTCCCGACACCCTGAACAGAGGGCAAGCGTGGCGCTGCCCTTGGTGGGCGATCCAGCAGCGGAGTCCCGGTCTCGACCTTCCTGAAAGAGTCTGGACCGAGGCGTTTCTTCCATTTTCAGCGTTTGGAGCTGGAGCGGCGGCCGCAGCGGCGGCAGTGCGCGGCGGCCAGGGGGGCCGGGCGCAGTTGACAGTATGGCGACAGGCGGGGCAGAAGCAGCTCGGAGGCACGCACGCAGGGGGTGGCGCAACGGAGAGGTGATGGGCCTGTTTCCACCATATGTTGGAGGGGGAGGGGGTCCTCCTCCTCCTCCTCCTCCTCCACCACCTCCTCCTCCTTCCTCCGTAGCCATTTTGGCTCAAGCCATTTTCCACCCAAAGTCCCGGGCGCGGGGGCCGGTGTGTTCCGATGGGCCCAAATTGAGAGTGGCCATGGCCCCGGGAGCAATGTCGAGTCAGCCCTGGCAGCCCACGACCGAGCGCGGGTCCAGCTGCCAGAGAGCCATCAAGAAGGTGGGTTGCCCCCTCCCCGTTCCTCCGCTCGTCCCCCTCCCCCTCCTCCTCCTCCTCCTCCTCCACCCGCCAGGCAGACAAGCGCGGGCGAGCCACGATCAGCCGTGCTGGGAGCCGTCCGTGCCAGGCAAGAACGTGCGGGCCAATGTCATCAGCTACATAGTTGAGACCAGTTCGTGCGGGAGACGCCACACAAAAAGCGGGCAGCGGCAGGAAGCCTCAATACGAGAAGCGGGAGGCGAAGCTGGAGTCCGCAACACCAATCCCTCCCTCGGCGAGCAGCGGCAGCAGGCGATGCCGCGGCACCAAGCGAGAGGGATGACGAAGGTCGAGCCCAACGTCATCAGCTACGAGGCCCGACAGGCGAAGGTTGAGCCCGACGCGGAGCCCGACCCAAACACCGACGCCGAAGCGGAAGGCGAAGGTAGAGCCCGACGCGTTCAGCTACAATGCTGGGATCGAGGGCGATGTGCGAGAAGTGGGAAGGCGAAGCTGGAGCCCGACGCCATCCGCCTGGAGCCGCTGTGCGATCAGCGCGCGAAAAGCGGGAGGCAACGCGGGACAACGAGCGACGCAGGAAGAAGGCGAAGGACGAGCCCGACGCCATCAGCTGCACTCGACGCGACGAGAGCCCGACGTGCGAAGGCTGTCGAAGGTCGAGCCCGATGCCATCAGTTGCATCCGACGAGAGCGGGAAAGCTGGAGGTGAAGATGGAGCCCAACGTCCTACTCATACGGCGAGAAGCGAGAGGCGAAGTTGGAGCCCGATGTCCTGGGCATGGCACTCGAAGGTCGAGTACAATGCCATCAGCTAGCCGACGATTTGTAAAATGCTGCAGGCGGAGTCGGAGCCCGACTTGCTATCCCTACTCTGCGAGAAGTGCGAGAAGCGTTTGGCGAAGGTGGAGGCCGTTTCCAGCCAGACGCGTCGGCCGACCCTACATACGATAGAGGAAGGCGAAGTTGGAGCCCAATGTCACTAGCTACTACGCTGGGGATCGAAGGAGCGACAATCAGGCTCGGTGGCGCCGTGGCCAAACCACAGCCTCCCGCTGGACGGAGCATCAGCTACAGTGTTGGGATCAGCCCGGCGTGAGGTTCAGATGCGTGGCGCCCCCAAGACCGACTTATGAGGGGCGGCCTCTCTTTCGTCGCCGCGGTGCGTGCCTCGCAACTGCGGTGATCAGGCCTGCCAGATCCAGCCAGATCCAGATCCTCCTCCTTCCTCCTCCTCCTATCCGTCCTCCTCCTCCTCCTCCTCCTCCTCCTCCTCCTCCTCCTCCTCCTCCTCCTCCTCCTCCTCCTCCTCCTCTCAAGCCCTTTCGGCCCTGGCCCCATTCTCCAGGGTTGCCCCAGTACCTTCCCGAGGTGCTTGAGGATCTCCCGTGCACTTGCCCAGGAGCAGGATTTACGGACGACTAAGTATGGGGCTCAGAACATGAATCGCCATGGCCGCTCCCCCGGCGCCGCCGCTGATGGCGCGCCCTGGCGCTTGGTCGTCTCGCGGCGCCCCAGTGTGAGACCATGGGCGCGCTTCAAGGGGTGCAACACATGCGAGTGCAACGACCGCAAGCCTGTCTGCCCATGGTGCAACAGGCCACTTCGCCTGCACCGCGGACGACCCAGGAGCCCGAGCGTGCGTTTCGGCGAGGCTGAGACCATCGACCTCGACCCCGACGGCAATGTCGCCACCCAGCCCGCCAACGCAGGCGGCCGCCCACGCTCGGCTCAGCGCAGCTCCCTCGCCGACCACCTGAAGCAGGCCCTGGCCGTCGCCGACGACCCCGCGCTGCAGGCTGCCCTACAGGCCCAAGAGCAGCGCATCGAGGCCGCCGTGGACAGCCCACCTCGGGTCAACGAGGTCGAGGCGATGCGCGAGGCCGACAGCGCTTGGCGCGTTGCAACCAACCACCACCAGCAGGTCGTGAGCAACCTTGTCAGGCTCCGCAAGGCCCTCTCTGCAGCCGAGGAGAAGGAGCAGCTCGCAGCCCGTGAAGTTGCCCGCGCAGAGCTCACCAAGCGGAGAGCGGCGGAGGCCCTCGCCCGCGCCGAGGGGGTCGGCAGCGGCGAACCGACCTCCAACGCCGCGGGCGCCACCGATCCTGACAAGCCGTTCACCGTGCATTGGGACCCCGACTTCTTCCGCCAGATCGACGAGCTCGACTTCACCCCAGCCGAGCAGCAGGAGCTCAACACAGTCCGCGCAGGACTCGTGGAGCTCCAGAAGCAGTTCGCCACCGAGGACCCAGAGATCACCGCCCTCATCCAGAGAGCCCGCCACACCCGCGAGATGCAGGAGGCCAGGTACCAGAAGAAGCGCAAGGGCGAGGACGGCACAGCCAGCGCACCCGCCCCCTCCGCCCAGGGAGCTGCAGCTGGCGCCCCCCCGCAGGCCCCAGTTGCCGCGGCAGCTACTAACGCCGAGGGCACAGAGGCCACAGCCGACGACAGCGCCGATGCCGACAAGGCCGCCGCCGCCGCCGAGGAGGGAGCCATCAAGACCGAGGCCGCCAGGCTCTCGGCCGCGCGTTTCGCAGCCGAAGCCGCCGCCGAGCAGGCCGCCGCGGCCGACAAGACCGACACCGTCGACGAGCGCAAAGGCAAGGGCAATGTCAAGAGTACCAAGCCCAATGCATTATCGTGACTAGGTTCCGAATCACCA